GGAGAGTCCCACAGCCATGCAGCTCTTAGAGTGAACTTGTTGATATATTAAGGAGGAGGATGAAGCCTTCCCCATCGTTCAGCCATTCATCCATCCCCCACACCACTCCTCTCCCCAAAACCCCAACTTCCTCCCTCTCCTGCCCTCAGGGTATTGAACAGAATGCTGCAAATGCCTTTTTATCTAAATCAACTACCTGATCTCAGCTTGAAAAGAGAAAACAGTAGACAAATCTCAAGTGCTGCCTACTTGTTCATCCCTCCCAGTAAAGAGTAGATTTTGGGGGCAGATTAGCAGCTACAGTACTAGAAATAAGAACATAAAAAGAAACACCCAACTTTACAAAAAAGGAGGATTTGGATCCATAACAGTAAAATAGTTGGGAGCTAAGGTTAAAAACTCATGTTCACCTTGATCTTAACTTCACGACCCTCTGATGGGCAAGGATGCAAAGGGCTTCACAGTGGTAGATGACCCTTCTACAGCTGACCCTGCTCACTTCCGACACTACAGCACAACAGGGTGATTAAAAGATGAGGAGAGAGTCAGAGTTTCACCCTGATTATCATAATTTTTGCTCTTCTCTGGATTTGAGTTACACCCTTTCAACTTGCTTTAATGTTGTACTGTTGATTTCTTCCCTAATTTAACACTAACCTAAACAGATAACAAACACAGCCCACCAGAAAAAAAAAGAACAAAAAACCAAAACCAAACCCCAAAATAAAGCAGTAACAAAAAAAAGCTTGATATAAATCAAGAACGTGACTCTAGCAGTCTCAATGACTTCTTCAAAGGATTTATTGATATTCAACTAGTAAAACATGTCTGTACCAATAATGATAATTAAGTGCTATATGCCTTTCATCCAAGGATCTCAAACTGTCACACACAACAACACTGAGTTAAGTATGGTCTCTCCACTTCATAGAGATTTTGTCTACAGCCAGAGAGTAGCTCAATAACAGCACAAGGAGCAAGGCACAAATTCCTTGGGAAGGTGTGGAGGGGATTTTTTTCATACTGGTAGTGTGCCCATTATAGTATCTTAATATTTGCCCTATCCCACATACATACCTAGGTCCTTTCAGTTTCCTGTGCCTACACATGGCAACAGAAAAAAGACCCAAGTTTCCTGAACCGAAGCCAGTTCTGCTAAACCTGTACTGTCCATTAAAAAAAGACTTCCATCTCCCTAGGAAGCTCCACAGAGCCATTGGTGTCCACTCAGGGCTGAACCAGCCCCTGCATGCTGCAGCAGGGCCAGCATGGTGACAGAAAGGGTCCATCACCTCCTTAGTCTTGGGTTCAGAGAGAGCAGAGAGAGCCTTTGCCCAGGACCTCACTCTGTGCTTGTACCAGTAGCCAGCGCCATTACCTGAGCCCAGTGTTATCAAACTACCTCCTAGGAGGCAAGAGGCAAAAACCAAGATAAACGGCTCCTCTGCTCTACGAGAGCAGACGTAACTTGCTTCTGGCACCATGATCATTCCCTGTGGCAATGCTACAGATACCAGCCAGCTCTTCTGCCACCTTTAAAATATACCTGCTCAATTTTACTGTCTGATGGTAATTCTTAGTCCAGCCCTGAAGCAGACATCAGTCAAGGAAGGTTCCTTATCTATTTCTCTACATGTCCTCAGTGAAGTCTACAAACTGCACCTGTACTTGCTGCAGCACTGGCACTGTGTGCAGCTGGCACCACACTGCTGGCAATCTGGTTTGCCTCATTTTTCCTAGCTTCAAAACCAAAGCATAACCTTCCCATCTGAAGGCCAAATCCTGACAGTAACGTGATCCTTAAGACTGGGTCCCTGCTGAAGACCCCTGTAAGGATCACACTGCTCTGGACTCCTGTACTGGAAGAACCACGATCTGTGCACACTAAATGCTGGCAGGATAAAACCCACACCCCCTGGGTTTGGCAGAATGAAGCAGAAGCAGGATTTCAGGGTGATTTCAAAAGCAGATGAGAAAACCTCTTTAGTCAACACAACAAAGCCTCATTCTTCAGGGAATGTCATGTCTCCTGTGCTGTGTATAGAAGGACCTTTGTATTGCGTCCCAAGACTTTAAAAGCAACAACAGAACAACTTCCACCTCAGAGAACTAATTCCTGTTTCTTCCCCTCCTATTCCTTAATATTAATGACAAGCTTTCACACTGCAGTAAGATTTACTGCTTATTGGTATTACTAGCTGTGGCTATTGCCACATGTCCCTTCATTGGGAGGGAGGCTCTTCTATGAGGCCTGGCCACCAAGAAGGACACTTACCAGTAAAGAAAACCAGGCAAATAACAGATTTAAGTAGTAATTATTTTAACATAGTTTCTTCCAGTCTAAAATATAACGATGGCCCCTGTGTCTAGAGGAGAGTGACACAGATGCCACTAAGATGCTCTGCATCTTTCCTCCTGTTGCTATGCTTTTGCTATCAAAAAAAAATTTCCTAAATGCTAAGTTTAGCATTGGTTAGCACTAAGGATCTTTTCCTTGATATCTCACAGCTTTTTTAATCAGGTAACAGAGCAGACAATTCTCTATCTCCATCAGAGTGAACCCACAGGCAGGTTAGGTGAAGGAGACATCTGAGAATCACTGGCTCTGAAAGCACCACATTTCAGTCTGGCTCTGAAATAACAGGCTCACCAAACCATCCAAGTGTAGACACAGACTTAGGAATCTCTTAACTGGGGCCAGTCTTGAAGGGAAAGCAGAAATCCTATGCAGGGCTACCAGCTTTGGGGGGAAAACTGGATGTGTAACTTCTGTGCACATTAGATCCACATTTCAGCCCACCTTTCTAAGAACTGGAGATGATTCAGTGCCAACAAGCAGGTATTTCCTTCTGGGTCCTTTAACATAGGCATCTTCTCATGCTGAACACCAAACCAGTTCAGCCTGGTCTCAAAATCCTGCTATGACATGATCTCCAGCCTTCACTGAAGAAATATCTGCACTGGAAAACTCACGCTTTCTATGTCCATGCTTGGTCTTAGATGAAAATTAGCTCAGCTATAGTCCCAGGGAGCCCTTTTATGGCCAGCGTATGCTCTGGCAGCCTGCCAGCAGTGCTCTTCTGAAGCCATCCAGCAAAGCGACACCATCAGTTATAAGATCTATGTGTGTCAGGTCACTGGGTTATAAAACAGAAGTGTCATAAGCATGTAAGGACATGGTTCGGTCTCTGCTGTGGACAAAGATCAAATTATTTTTGTGGAATCGGATTACTGTCTTGGGATCTATTCCAGTGGGAAAGGGTCACTGCACTGCAATAGCATATCCACTAGGAATTAACAACAGTTCAAGTTTTTAGAATTGTTAAAAAAAACCCTGAAATAGGTAAAAATGTGAATTGATGGGATGCTACTACTACACTGGAGCTAACACAGTGGTGAGGTACTGTGTGCTTGGATGGAAAAATCCAGCTTAGACTGTATATTGCATAGTGTTGGACCACACTGAAAATCAGAAGTCAGTCTTTCCACAGGAAGTGACAGCAGTGCAAAATGAAAACCATGATAATAAGCAACACGGCTCTCCCACGCATTACTTCCTAGTAACACCTAAGAACATACACATTTGTAGCATGCTTCGAAAACAGTCAGCTCCATCACAGAAATATCATGAGCAGTGAGTGTGTGTCCCCCTGAATCAGTCCTCCTGGCTTCAAACAAAACTGAGGACCAGCAGAGTGACAGAAGCCGAGAGCTACAATACAGTCCAAAAGCAGGGAAAAATGATGAAATAATGAAGGCAAAGGGTAAAGCACCACTACACTGTGCTGATTCAAACAATGACCTGCATGGAACTTTTTAAAGAAAACACACTATGGCAGACAGAACAAACTCTCACAGGCTAGTGATACAGCTGTCAGATCTCAACACATTAAACTACACAGACTTATGTGAAGAAAAAGTGATTGATATCAATAACCATCTTGATTTAAACTTGAGAAAGACTCCTAGGGCTTTACAATTTCACTGCCACAGTAGTCAGTTATCACTGAATAGGGTGGCAAACACTTGGTGAGATGAAGATCAAAGTAAGGCAATACTAAACAATAAAACACGGGGGACAGAAAGGAGGAAAAAAACAAACAACTTAAAAGGTCAGACAAATATTTAAAAAAAAAAAAAGGACAATTACAGAGATACTGATAAAGTTTTTGAATTGCAGTGCAAGAGATTACAGTGGAACCCATCTTCCCCACACCCTCTTCCGTTCTCCCCTCTTCTCCCCTACAAATTAAAGTGTAATTTTTATTTATGCCTAAATGTAAGTGCTGAGAATCAAAGGCATTACACTTGGCTTCTGGGCAAGCCAACATGCTACATAAGGAAAAAAAAAAAAAAAAAAGGCCATTATTTGGACAGAAGAATCAGTCTGTATTACTGACTTGACTGGTCCCTTTTTTATTAGCAGCTGTTCCACAGAGTGTGCTGCTGTGGTGCAGCTGTTCCACACATGTTATAAATAAGGGCCGGTAAAAGCTTGTTCTATTTTTAACATTACAGAACAAAGAAGTCACAGAAATTCCCCATTAATGCCTTGTAAGTAGAACTTTTCTCCTGTTCCTGACTTTAATGCCCAGAACTGAATGGACAAAAAAGGCCATTCTTAAAATAATATTCATTAAAAAAGAAAAAACGCTATTTAGTGGAATTAGATTCAGCCTGGAAAATGTAACCAATTAGTGTGCACAGTGTCTTTTCCTTCAAAAACAGACACTTAATCAGGATGAAAACAAAACCCTGAGATCCTATTTCTAATAAAAATGTTGAATTAGTGTACTGAAGAGTTTCTGTAGCACAACCCCAAAGCTAAACCCAGCACCAGACAACTCAGACACCACCACTCACCCTTCCCAAACCGGTGCTCACGATCCCCTTGCTAGCTTGCAGTGTGTGGTCAGAGCCCATTTGCCATCTCCAGCTCACCAACCCCAAGGCTGCAAAGACCACGGCAAAAACCTGACCCTGGGCAAACCCCCCCTCACCTGTTTTCGGGGTCCGACACCATCATGTTGCGCGTCACGTAGCACATCTTGAGCGGGATTGTCTTCTTGTCTCTGTGGATGGAGAGCGAAAGCTGCGACAGGGGGTCAGCAGAGGCACAGCCCAAGCGGGGAGATTCGGGGGGAGGCGTCTCCCACCCAATTTCTGACACAGGGGAGCCTTTCTTCACATAGGGGGTTGCTTCTCTCATGTATTTCACTAAGGAAAAGAAAACAAAGAAGGAAAAGGAAAACAATTAATAAATGGGTATTTAGTAGTTGCATCCCACGTGAGTTCTTTGAACTGCTATCAACCCTCTATTATCTCTACTTGACCAGCATCACGGCACTGAAAGCTGTGCAAATACAGAAGATGGAGATCTGACTGCTGCCAATCTCAGTACAGTGCAATGAGTAAAATGAGGGAAAAGAACAGAACAGGCAAAATAAGAACATACGGCTGTTATGAGGCCAGGAGAGCCACCTGACAGGCTCCAAGTCCTCATGCAGCAACTCCTATGTACAGAAGTCATGAGCAGGCTGAGAATAGGGAAGTTTTTAAGACATTCAGCCATGTGACAGTGAATCTTTACTCCCTGCTCCAAAATGTTCCAGTGATACTCCCAGTGCTGCAAACTCACATCTTGCTTCTGGTGCATGCTTGTCAGTGTCCCACCACTGATCTCAACAGCTTTGTCTGTTTGCTGGGAAACAGCTGTCCATATGGAGTAAACAAAACCCCATGCACTTCTTAGCCTTCTCTTGGGGAAATAAAACTGAGTTCAAGCCTTTTGTAAGAGTGGAGGAGTCAGATTAGATCTCTTCTCAGCCTCTTCCAATGCTTTTTTCCAGTATGGATAGGAAAAGTGAACGCAGGAGTCTCATGATCTTAACATATGCAAAAATCAGTACTTCTTTTCACAGAATCATAGAATGGACCCTAAAGATCATCTAATCCAACCTCCCTGACATGGGCAGGGATGCCTCTCAACTAGACTAGGTTGCTCATGGCCTCATCCAGCCTGGCCTTGAACACCTCCACAGAGGAGGCATCCACAACCTCTCTCAGCAATCTATTCCAGAGTCTTGCCACCTTTGTACTGAAGAATTTCTTCCTAAGATCTCATCTGAAGTCTTTTATACTCATACTTCATATTCTCCTCTTTATGCAGGCAAATATTGCCATATTTTCCCTGTTTTTGAATTTTTTTGGCAGTTCAAGATCACTTTTGCTTTTCATGTGCTTGGCAAATCTGTCAGCCACGGTCTCCTCCTCCACAATCCTGACAGAGCCCAGCCAAGAGAAGACCTCACATTTATTAAGCACCCTGGTTAAATGTATATATCCACAGCACAGAGCTGTGGCTGCCTAACTGGCCATTGCCACTTGATTGTACCCGAGACTCAAACAGTGAGGACACAAGCTGAAAGGGCAGGAGCACTCTGAATTTATATGAGGTAGTTATTAAAATGATGTGAGGGACAATTTCCAGGAGACAGTGCAGAGCATCATCTCAGCTTGGCTGAAGAGGCTGGGAATGACTGAATAACAAAGAGATGGGCAATTACCAAAGGGCATTGTGGTGAAGGAGGTTAAATTAAGGAAAGCAGGATGATGACTTTAAATTCAAAGTGAAAGCAAATGAAGTACTGAGAAGAGTGAAGAACAAGGGTGTTTCTGTCCAAACCACAGATAAGGTAATTTTAGCAGCACTGTTTTCAAGGCACTTCATAACGACTTTACAGCTGGTTTTTTTTTTTTTTTTTTTTGTCATTTCCAAATCTGTAATTAAGTTGCTGTTTTACTAAATCAGTTCTTATATTAAGTGATGTTAAAATCAGCCTTTGATTTATCTCATTAATAAATCTTGAATTGATGATAAATAAAACTGTGTCAAATATTCATCCATGATACTCTGTGAGAAAGACCATTTGTGATTGATCAGAAATGCTGTCCAACCCAACAAAGCTGTTTTGATTTCTTCGCCCCCATACTGTTCTGAGCAATTTTTGAAATTCATTTTGGAATTCATTTCTACCCTGTTCAGGGAAGTGCTGGCATGAGCTTCTACCAGCCTTCCAGAAACTATTTAAGGCAAAAGTTGCTGAGATGGATTTTTTTCATTACCTACCTGGAGTCCATTACCTAAAAACTTGTGTCATCTAACTCTCAAAACCAATGTTCACGCTTGGTAAATCTATAAATTCCCTGATTTTCAAAAGTGCTGAAAACAACTAGTATTAGCCAGTGTCATAGAGATACTGGTTTTAGTAGTCGGTATCTCAGTTGGATGCTCACATAGAATCATAGAATCATAGGGGTTGGAAGGGACCTCGAAAGATCATCTAGTCCAACCCCCCTGCAGAGCAGGGTCACCTAGAGTACATCACACAGGAAGGCGTCCAGGCGGGTTTTGAATGACTCCAGTGAAGGAGACTCCACAACCTCTCTGGGCCTCATAGCCTTTGGGAAACAGACTGAAAACATACACGTGGTGAATCCATTCCTGTTTACACAGAACAAATATGAATTTGTCATTAACTTAGATGGGAGGAACAGCTGAAGCTGTGAAAATCCTGTTTGACTGCAAACAAAATTTGGTTCCCTTTAAAATTAAAGATTATCAATTAATCTGTTGAAAAAAAGTATTCCAGTCAGCTTTTGAACTCTGTTAAGAGTGACATGCCAGCAAATGAGATGCTAAATAAAGGTCCAGGTCCCAGTAATGCAGCTATTTCACCTGTGCTATTTTCGTCCTCTCTCAGCTGCAGCTATATGCATTAGACCTGAGCATCTTTTAATTAAGGAAAGCAGAGAGGGACAGGGAGAGGAAGGAAGACAAAGTGAAAAATTTGGCTCTAAACTTAAGCAGCAACACAGAATGTGAATTTAATTCCCCAGAGATGGGTGCAGAAGAAAAGAGCCATCCCTTCTATATGCCAAGAAGCCAAGTTTCCATGTGATGCACCAGCGAATTTGTGGCAGGCAGCTGCACTGTTTCAGAAACTCCAACAAAAGAGGAAGCAGGAGAAGAGAGCAGAAACACCACCCTCTTTCCACGGTCTCAAACACAGCAAAAGCCAAGAAAATTACCTTGATGAAAAGTGTCCTATGAAAACTCCTGCCAACTTCTGAACTCCCAGACATCTAGTTTCTACTAACTCTCAATAGGAGATGGATGCTCAGCCCCAGAGACTCACATATATAATACACTGGTAAACTGCTGAACATCATCTTCCTACAAAATTATACAGAGGGATTAAAAAATAAAGATAATATAGGTTTTCTGTGCAAAAAATGGACTTCAGTGGTTTCTGACAAATTAATTTCTACTTCTCACTCAATATAAGCATAGCTTTTTAGATTGACGCTGAATTCTGCTGGGTTTTACAAACCAAACTTTATGCCTCTTACATATTCAAGTACATTTCACTTGTTAAAAGCCCCCAAATGGATATATATAAATGGATAAATGTAATATGAGAGTGGAACAAGTGGCAGAATTTGATCCATTTATATAAAATTTTGTATTATTTAAATTTCAGAGTCACCGTTTTCCATTTGGCCAATCAACATCCATAATTACATGTCCATAACCAAAATCCAGTTTATTAATTTAGCTGAAATAAAACACAAGATGATGATTCCTAAGTTTTATCTGCAATTATTTGCTATTACATCTAAACTCTAGATGCAAACACTGCAGAACACTGTTTTATACCAATGCACTAGTTCTTAATCCAGCTAGTGGGAAACAAGTTGACAACGAATATGTATCATAGGAATATTCCTATTCCACACTGCACTGCCTGACAATCTTGAGTGCAGCATTGCTAATGTATAACTGAAGTTATACCATTCACTTCCATCACCAAGTTTTAAAACCCGAAAAAAAATGATTCAGACTATTGGACACTGAAGTAATAATGTGGATAATATTCTGTTCTCAGATCATTACACTCAAGAGCTAGATTTTCCTTTGGACACAGTAGCACAAATCCAGGTACTGAAAAGAGTGGCTGTAGAAAATGCTGGTTTTAGATATTGCCAATGAAACTATCTATCTAAAGGATTAAAACTCCAAAACATTTAATAAAATTAAACAAGGCATGCCACTGTATAACAACTCTGAATTCTATAGGCATGTATATATATGCTTTCAAAATAGATGCATGTCTACTACATATAAATATAAATACTACATATTTGTATAACTAAAATGTTACATTACATTAAAATGCTACATTCTTTCAGACTATCAGAATATACTCTGCAAACATGGAAAGCAACATGCAGGGACTGAGAAAATTCTAATGGTTTCATTACTGCAACTCACTTTACTGATAAACTGTAATTTCAGTAGAGAGTTGTCTAAACTCATCCATTTGATGCTACAGCCCAACCTCTGAGATCCTTATATTCAGTACTAATTAATGACCCATACTCTTGTGGTGAACCACTAATTAAACTTTGGTCAAGCAATTAAAATTCCAATCTCTGGAACACCCCTCCCCACAAAGAGAAGAGAAAGGGAAGTGGCAATCAAATGAATTAATCCACTGATACACACTGAATTTATTTTTTGATCTGCAAGACAGGCAATGCAGCTTCCAAAAAAGCATTTCATTTATATGCATTTCTGCCAAGTCCCAAGTTGCCACAATTAATCCTTTGTTACTGTTCACAGATGACTTTGGGGGGGAAGCAGGCTTTTAATGAGAGAAACACTACAGACCAACTTGGTCAGGTTCTTGGCCAGACATAGTTCTGAGGAACTGGAACTCTTCTTACACATTCAAGCTGTTTCCTAGGAGGGAAGACAAAGCACACTGAAGAGAAGCCAGCACTCCTAAGCAAAGCTCTTTTGTTACTATAGGAATGAGGACAGGATGTGTATGTTTACAATATGAAAGCAAAAGGAACAACATGCCCAAATCTGCTTGAAGAAAGATGACCAAGGAATTCCCCTTTGCAGGAGAGGAGCACAGAGCCTTCTCTTTATGCATTCATTCTCTCCTAAATAAGCTCTCAGAGTCAACTACCAAAAGTATGTAGAAATCACCCCCCGTAAACCTCTTGAGGCTATTTTCAAAGGATGCTGGTATCTATCGACAAAAAAAGGTTTTCTAAAGTTCCCATAAATCCATCTTCATCTCTTCTGGTTCCTGCCAGCGTGAAAAATGGCCAAGAGAAGGAGCTAGGCAAGCTCTCCATCATAC